GGGAGCTTTGAACTCTGCTTGGCATGCGGCAGCCAGTCTTGGTGGTATGTCAGGGTCCGTCCTGGTCCGCGCCTCCGCCCGTCCGGTAGCTGAGGGCTGAGGCTGGCGGACTCACATCGGCGTGGCGGCCCACGAGGTATCCCGACCCGAGTACGGTGGGACACGGAGAGGCCGCCTGACCTCCGTCGCGGTCTGGCCCCGAAGCGCCGCAGCTGCTCTCGGCAGTCGGGGCCCTGTGTCGAGGGCCGCTCGCCCACTCAGAATATGAGAACGAACACTGACATAAACATAAAAACTCGGAGGTCCGCGCAAATTTCTCGGATCGGCGCTGGACCCCTCTTTGCGGCGCCTCCGGCGCCGCCCTTGGCGCGCTCCACGCGCCAGGGAGGGGGCCCCTGCGCCGATCCGAGAACTCCGCGCGGACATCCGAGTTGTTATGCTCATGTCATTCTTCGTTCCCTCAGCTCGCCCACCCAGAAATCCGATGTCTTGATTTTTTCCCATGCGGGGCCCCTGGAAGTCTCGACCCACTCCCGGGAACTGGCTCTTCGCCCCGAGCAGTTTCGCTGACGGTCCCGGGGCCTGGGGCGAGGGCCTGAGGGGTGTCAAGATTGAGGGGGCGGCCAAGAGGGGTGTCATGATTAAGGAGGGGAGGATATCACGGCGGGGGCCATGATGCCTCCCCAAATCTCATGGCGCCTCTTCTTTTTTGACTGCGTCCCCGCCCCCCCCTTGGCCCGCGCACATGCCGCCGGCCATGATATTTGCGCCCTCCCCTTCTTGGACGCCCCCTTCTTGGCCGCCCCCAACTGGAGGTCGAGAACAGGGAAAAGCAGGGTCGGCCTAAACGGTGTTTTGGCGATGTCGTGGGCCGTTTTCGTTCCCGTTTCGCTATCGTTTTGCAGCCAAGGCGGGTCGAAGCCAAAACGAAGTAAAACGAAAACAAAACGAAGACGACAAACAACGTTTAGATCGACCCCTGGGGAACAGGCGCGGCCTCGATTTGCTCAACACGTTGGATCTCTGGGCAGGCGCCGCGGGAGCACTCCGCGGCTTCAAGAGCTCGGCGCGCTCGGCTGCGCGCGAGGACAGCGCGGCGGCCGCGCCCCGCCCTCTGTGGAGAGGCAGCAGCCCGTCTTCGGCCCTCGCGGCCTGCCGGCCCGGGTTGGTCTGCCGGCCCTCGCGGCCTGCCGGCCCTCGCGGCCTGCCGGCGCCGCGGTGCAGACTTTCCCACGCGGTGGTTGTCCCAGACCAACATCGAGTCATGAAACAATCACGACGGGAGTTTTTTCGCCGTTTTCGGCCTCACGGGGCCTTCACCGGGCCTCGGGACCGTCAAACAACGACTCAGGACGAAAAACCGGTCCTGGGGAAGTGGTCGAGACCTCTGAGGGTCGGCGTCAGGAAAAAATCATGACGTCGGGGATCTGGGACATCTGCGGGCCCACACGGCGAGCATGAGGCTGCATCAGAAGGAGAAAACGTCACATTCATAAACTTGTCTGGCTCTCCGCGCGGATATCTTGGATCTGCGCTGGACCCCTTCCCTGGCGCGCGGAGCGCGCCATGGGCAGCGCCGGAGGCGCCGCCAGGGGGGCCCCAGCGCGGATCTGAGAAATCCGCACGGAGCGCCAAACGTTTATGTTTATGCCGTGTTTTTTGTTCGATGTATGACATTTGGCCTGGTGAAGTGTATGCGCCCAGGGGGAAGGTCGCGGTGCAATTGCCTGTGCCCGAGCGGGTTCGGGAAGGCCGGGGTGGAGGAACGGGAGGACAGGCAATCATCGAGGACCCCCCAGAGGGAAACACGTACGCAAGTGTTGCAACCAGTGCGTGTTCGGGGTACGGCTTCGACGAGGGTCAGTACCTTTCGATGTAATTTCTCTCAGGGCCATCTTGGCGTCCCTTGGGGGCGCAGGCGGTCTTCGGAGCCAACAGAGGGCCTTCGGAGCTCAATGAGCCACGAAGTGCGAGAAAAGAGTGCCGAATCGAAGTCCCCCTGGATCGTAGGAGGAGTAAGCCGAGGACCCCTGGGAGTCCAGGAGGCACGAAGTGCGTGAGGAGTGTGCCGAATTGAGGCTTGGAGGCGCATGAAATAAGTGAGGTGTAGATGTAGGCGTAGGCGTAGGTATAGGTGTAGGTGTAAGTAGAGGGATGTGTGTGCGCGTGTGTGTGTGTGTGTTGTGTGTGTGTGTGTGTATGTGTGTGTGTGTGTGCGAGTCCGTGTGTGTGTGCGTGTTCTGGTTGATTTCGTAGACTGCAACTAGAACAGCATAGCAAGATAGCACGTGAAATTGCACATGCCTTTGAGTATGCCTGGCTCCAGGCGCGAGGCTAGAATAGTTATCCTTGCGTTGCGACTTGTAGGAGTGAGATCTTGATGGGGAGAAATCTTGGGGTAAAGTCGCCTCCAGGAACTTTAGACACGTTTTCCGTTTCGCCGCTGTTTTAATGGGCTCAGGCCGTTCCCCGATGCCACAGAGGCCAAGGAGCTAGCAGCATTGCGCGTTCAAAGGGAACCTCTCGAACGCAAGCAGCCTGCCATGTATTGAGAAACGTCACTCCGAGTTTGAATCCACTCAGGTCCGTCCTTATTGTTGTTGCTGCGCTGGTGTGTGCGTGGTTGCATCGTCGGGAGGGGACATCGAGGGCGGGCCGTGGATGTCGGTCTCGAGTTTGATAGTATCTTCACCATCGATTGTCGGCGTCAAGTTGGAGTTCTGGATAGCCCATTGTGTGCCATCGACGCCTCACACGTTCCATACTTGCGTTTGCGTCACATTTGTTCTATAGATGTTTTACCTCTGATGCGTGTACTTCTCGTGCATATCTCCACTCTCCTGAACGTCTACCGGTTGCTGACCCAACAGTGATAGAAGAGACGGTTCTCGCCCACATCACCTGTCTGAACCAATTTGGTGCTAAGTTGGGCTTGCGATCTGGAGTTATTGTTGGACATCGGCCTGCTGACCTTCCTTTTGGGATTGAGAAGTTCTGGGGCACTGTCTCTTGGAGCTTCATCGTTTCCGAGCCACCCCTGGGCTTCCTCTCAACCTTTAAGATACTCCAACGGGGGCTCCTTGCACGTGCTCAACGAAATGGGGGCCCTAACACCAAGGTCTTGGGAGTGTTTGGGCAGCGTGACCTTGGCCATCATGTTACTGAATTTACGTTTTGGGGAACTTCCGGGACGGAGGCAAGTCTGGCGGGCCCCGCTGGCCCGTGGACCCCTAGAGGCCCAATGCAGGACGGCACTCCTGCGACCACGAGGGGCGCAAGTGCGCCGAAGGTCCAGCCTCAGACTTCTGGCATATATGGGACAGGGCCCACAAGCGGCCCGACGTCACATCACACATATCAACTTGGGCTCCGTGCGCGGCATAATCGGGCAAGTTCGGGAGTGTAGGAAGACGGGATCCCTAGTGGGTTTGCCGCAAGTTTGCGTGAAGACACTCGGTATTGGCATCTTACATCTAATTTGTATATATATATATATATACAGATAACGAGCGCCCAACAAATGATATATTCCACACCTGTTCGAGCGTGACGGACCACCCCAGCTTTCTGTTTGTCGATAGCTCGCACTTGCGATGGGCGGGGTTTCTGCATCAACATCTACAGGCCTGAAGCGAACGACCTTTCCGATGTTCGCGCGGCCGGGACAACGTGCACGGCCTCGGCGACGGCGGAATGGCAGGCTTTCTCTTCCCTCCAGGAAGTCGCTAGATTGCATCCAGGTCTCCGAGGATTTGCGGCACGACCGCAGCCTAGAGAAGCATGCGTCCAAACGTCTAGCCCGTAAACGTTACCTTGTCCAGCGTAGCTTGATCCAGGCTGTACTTATATACCCGTTACAGTTTTTGATTGGGAAGGCACCCTTGGACCCCTTGACCCACATCGTCTTGGACATACCCCCCCCTTATTCCTAAAGTTCCTATCCTGGACGCACGAACGTATCCATAGGGAACGAGCCTCTTGTTATAGGAAGTACCACGACGACTTTTATTTCTTGACCTGGGCCTTCTGTGCCCTACTGCTTCCTTACCCTGACCAGCTACGTGCGCGTGCACATGTATTCCAGAACCTTACAGCCCACGGTCAACGCGCCCCTAGCTTCACATGCCTCCTGGTTCTTATCATAGCTCGGCGTCGTGACGCGTGCATATGGGCACGGCTTCTCTTGCGCGCCGAAGCAAATGCACGACCGCACTGGGTCTCTCTTGTTCGCCGCTCTACGCGCGCTGCCGCGGCAGCTCCCCGCCCCTCGAAGCGCGAGCTCTTGAATGCACAGCGCGTGCTTTCGGCTTTCACGACGTCTGACATTCTTAACGTGCCACGCCAGATTTTTTGAGCAGGTGAGTTTAGCACGGATGTTTCGAATATTGCAAGATTGGTGGACGGACCCCTGTTGAGTATGTGGGATCAAAAAGCTTGTGCAATATTTTAGACGTTTGTGGGAAATGGCTCAGACTGCATGCTCTGTCGTTCGCCGATGTCCGCGATCTACAATATCTTGCATGTGCCAGAATTGAGACGCAATTCCTCTGGCCGGGCACTCGCTTCCCCCATTGTTGGCTATCGCGCTGGCTTCCGGGAAGCAGCGTATCAAGTTGTCGCGGCTGTCAAAGATAAGGAACCGAATGTGATTTGGGTTACGTCCCCATTGTCGTTGTTGGCACGATGGCTGTACTTGATCGGTTTAGTCCCCCATCGATGGCGCATCAGTAATGCACCTGCTGAGTCGGTTTTTTAATGGCATCGCACCCTCCTCGATTTCACAATCCCCAAGCCCTCGATGGAGAACCGGTCGGCCTTCAGTTTACAGGGCGCCCCATATGCGTCCCCGAGAGTCAACGCAACGTGCTGTAGTGAAGACGGCCAGCGGCTCTGCGCGGGCTCATCGCATTCTCGTTTCCGCAATGCATACAGCTTTTCATCGCGTGCCAGGCCGCCGCGTTTATAGACGCATAGGCCGATGTACTCAGCACTGTTTGTCTTTTGCGGCGCCTGGCTAGTCTGTGCAAGACACGAAGCAGGCGCTGCCGAGTCTGCAGGAAAGGGCACGTGCAATTCGCCCCCCTCAAAGGCCCCGTGGGATCTCGAGGTTCTGCTGTCCTGGGCGTGGGGTCTCCCTGGAGAGTCCGGCCTTCGCGATCGCCGATGCAGGGCAAGCGCGTGAGGACCTCTCGACCGATGATGTCTGAAGCTATTGATCGCTGTTTCGCGGACCTACCCAACATAAAAAAAGAGCCACGCAGTGACCGCCACGGACACGAAGCAAGGTTTCAGCACGTCCTGGGGAGGAACTTCTCGCGACCCTCACTGCGACCGCACGGTGTTCCCCTTTCGGCCCATGGGACGAGCTTGCCTGGCTCGGATATGAAGTTCTATCGTATTGGGAGTCTCTGGCTTGGACAACTCCGTGGGATTCCAACTGGAGGGCCACAATCGGGGATTATCTTGGAGATTGTGCAGAGCCGATATGGGAACACGTTCGACCACACAGCTAATTTACGCCGTAAATACGTTGCCCCCTGCCGATGCGTTGACGACCTCTGCCTGATGTCGCGTACGTGGTGCCGTGAATGTGTGCGCGCATGCGTGGATGCTGTATATCGCGATGTCGCGTGCTTCAGGGTTGACCATCATCAACGTAAACGTAACAACGACATGATACATAATATCCTGGACATCGAGATCCACTTAGGGTTTGATACGTACTCCGTCTGTCCGCTGCGTAAGAACGAACGCCGCGCGTGGACTGGCCCTGATGCAGATTTTGCGAGGCATTCTTTACCCCCCTTACACTGGTTGTGGGAGCCGGGCTACCCAAAATCAACCTCGTGCTGAGCTACGTGATGGCGCTCTCTCCAAATACCCAATGCTCTAAGCCTATATGGTACGTGTTGATGTTTTGGTTTCTTTACGTATTGGGTGCCCGCTCAGGTTCGCGCATCGGTTATGGGTATCACTCTTCGTTGGGACTGAGTTGAATGATGATCAAGCTCTGTTAGACCCTGGCGCGCCACTCATGCCCGTGCCAGGCGCGCGCGAAACCCCGGCCTCTTGCTACATCGCAGTCTTGCTGTTCAGGCTCAAGAGGATCTCTCGCGTGCTGTCTCCGCCCACCAGCCCCTGGGCGCGCGCGGCAGCCCTTCGCCGTCGCCCTGCAACATGGGCGGCGGCAAGCGACGGGGGCCGCAGATGGGGGGGCCACGGCGACCCTTGGGGAAAGGGCAGCGGCCAGTGGCAGCCCCGCCAGAACGGCCGTGGCGCGATGGCCAGACAGTTCAATGAGACGGTGGGGTCTTTGGCGGCGCTCGGACAGATGGCAGAGATCAGCGCGGCTCTCTCACGCGCTCAAGGCCCCAGCCAAGCCATATCGCCGCAGAAGGAATCCAGTCGCCCAGGTACTCAGCTCGGGGGGAAGGTTTTGCCGAGGAAATATCCGGCGCGCTCTCCATGG